AAGTTTCTATAAACACCAACATGCATGTTTTCTTTTTTATTTTGGTGGATATAAATTTTCAACTCAGGATAAATACCAAGAAGTAGAATTGCTGTGTTGTATCTTAAGTTTATTTATTTTTGTAGGAAACTGCCAAATTGGCTTCCAAAGTGACTATTATTTTGTTTTCCCACCAGTTCCTTTCGTTTCATACTCCACCATCTTTTGGTGTTGTCAGTATTTGGGATTTTGGTCAGACTAAAAGGTGTAGACTTGTAGATTTAATGTGCAATTTCCTAGTGACATAGGATATTGAATATTTATAGTAAAATTTTTAAAATCTTAGACCAAACATTTTTTCCAGTTGTCAGACTCACTAGTCTCTCTCTCTCTCTCTCTCTCTCTCTCTCTCTCTCTCTCTCTCTCTCTCTCATGATAATGCCCCTTTATTGAACTAATGAAGTATAAAGAAGATAAGGTTCTTTATTTTTTCTTTTTTTTATGTATTTGGTACAGGAGCTACAGGATCTACAGGGTCTCATTACGTAGATTGGAATTGTAGTAATTCTCCTGTTTTCAGCCTCCCAAGCACTAGGATTACAGGCCCTCACCACCATGCCCAGTCTCAATTCTAGACTCAGTGTGCCCAGGGCCAGGGCCGGCATGGCACACTGCTGTATCTGCCTAAGCAGGCACTTTAGTCTGCTGAGCTATTTGGCCGGCCCTCACATTATTTTCTTGACGGCTCTTCCTCCAGTCTGTCCTGTGCTCCTTGTCCCAAATTTCCTAGGCATTGAAGGCATCTGCTTGACACGTGTTTCGGCCAGGCCATGCCTCTCCTCAGAATCTCCGGCAGGCAGAAGGTCCTGTCTTCCAGCATACTGGTGACTCACAACCAAGCCCAGCCCAGATATCTGCTCCTTGTTCCTGTTTGAGTTTCAGAAAATCTTTTCTCTTTCCTCCCTCCCTTGCTCCCTTCCTTTATTGTGGTATATGTATCAAACCCAGGGCCTTCACACCAGCCTACTTCCCTACCCCTGTTATTTTTATTTTATTTTCAGAGAGAGGGTCTCACTAAATTGCCCAGGTGGAACTAAAACTTGAACTTTGGATCATCCTGCCCCAGCATCCCTGAGTGCAGGATTGCAAGCACGTTGCCACTGTACCTGGTGACACTTCAGGGAAACTTTGAACAAGTTCTTGAAGTATGATTGAGATAGAATAAATGATACATGTTTAACAGCTTATTGAGGTATAGTTTACACATTATACAATTAGCCATCTTTAAATGTATAACTCAGTAACTTTCCGGAGTGCATTCAGGAGTTGTGTTTCATACTTAAAATGTGCAGTTGGGCATCTTTTGACTTGTGCACCGGTTACAAAATCATTACCAGGATCAGGATGACGTCCGCCCTGTGTTCTATGCTCCTTTGTGAGTTCTTCTCCCTTCCCTAGCAAGTACTTGGGTCACTTTCTGGCACTGTATAGCAACTTGCATTTTCAAAGTTTTTATCTGACTAGAATCTTTTGGTATGGGCTGTTTTTGTTTTTCTCTTGTTTTGATCTTGCTTAGACACTTAAAACTTTAACATTCCTCTATGTTGAAAGCTTATGCAAATTGTTCTTTCTTTTTTGTTCCTAAGTAGTACTATTCTGATGTGTGATTATCTCACGGTTTGTTCATCTGCTCACTTCCTGGGCTGTTTCCAGTTGGGATGATTACAGACAGGCTGTTGGAAATGTTCATGTCCACGTCTTCGCACAGCATATGCTTTCATACCATGGATCTGCTTCTAGGAATGGCATGGCTGGCTCCTCTAATAAAAGCACCCTTATCTTTTAAAGATACTGCTAAGCTGTTTCCCATGTGGCTGTACTATTTTGTGTTCCCTCCAGGACTGTACAAGACATCTAGGGGCTCTTTGCCCTCACCACCACCTGACGTGGGTCACACCTAGTCACCTTCACCATCCTAGGAGATGTGTGGCAGCCTGCCTCGCTTCCAACTCCAGCAGTTCTCCCCTCCTTACTGGTTTTAACTTCTAGTACACGGGCCCCGCTATCACTTCTCTAAGCTTTCACTCACACCGTTGTTGCAACACGGATGCCTCTCATCTTTGTTAAACCATCATTATCCCTTAATGCACAGCTCCTCGGTCCCCAGCCCTCCAGGCGGAGCCCAAGTCTCTCTGTAAATACACACTCCTAAGTGGTCTGTCAGTCAGCTTTCATTATTATAACAAAATACTGGAGCCACTCAACTTGAACAGAGGAAAGGTTATTTTGGCTTTTGGTTTGGGGGCTCTCAGGCCATGACCAGCAGGCATGTAGCTTTTGAGCCTGGGGTGACACAGCACATCGTGTTGAGAACCCACAGTAGAAGAAGCTGCTCATCCTATGGTGGCTGGGAAGCAAAGAGAGAAAAAGGGGCCATGGTCCCAGTATCCTCTCCCACACACTTCCTTCCACTGGGCCCCACTTCCTAAAGGTTCCTCCTCCTCTCCTTAGTGCCTGGGGTTGGGGACCAAGCATTCCATACAGGAGCCTTTGGGAACATTGAAGACCCAAACTACAATGCAACCCATGGAATTCTGCAGTTTTTCCAAAGACTTCTATTTTTTGTAACTATGATGAAATGCTGTGTTTGTGTGGCTGTTCCCCCTAGTCAAGGACAGGGACATCCCCTGTCATGAACAGTGATGGGGGGGACCAGCATGCTAGGAGTCGTGCTCTTCCATGTGACCTGAAAAAACGTAGCTCTGTGTTCTTAAAGAGCGCCATTGGCTTAATCATTGTTATTAGAAATTTAATAATCAGGAATGCTGTAACTGTGACTATGTTTTTAAGTGAAATGAACGATAGTCCCGATTCTTAAAAGCATCCTTCAAACACAGAAGGTGAGAAACACATGCAGTCAAAGAAACTCAAGAAAGATCAGCCCAATCAGTCTCGCCTGATGATTTCACGTCTTTGAGATCCTAGGTACTTTTGAGTAGACCAAAGAATTCATCCTTGTGTCTGAGTATTTTGTTCCTCTTGGTGGCGGGAAGGGGTCAGAGCTGAGAAAGATGTAGCAGATCTCGGGAGTCAGTAGTAACCACGCGTTTTTCAGATGGAGCGTTGGCTGGGTCTGCACACTGGCAGGAGGGAGGTGCAAAGGCAGCCTCTCGCGCGGGGCGGTAGAGGTTAAACCGAAGCGATGGCATCCTAGTCGTTGCCGAGGCTTTACAGCCTGTGGATTTGGCCTGCTGTGCACAGGCAGTGGCCGCTGGGTTTTAGCCCGGGCCAAAGAGGCAGCGGCACACAAAAACGCTGGTAGCGCCTCCTGGGGGGATCCTGCCAGCGCGGGGGAATTAACTCGGGGAGTTGAAAGAAAGCCCCGGAATGTGGGAATTCCTAAAGCCATCCGCCTGATTAATCCAGATGATTTGGAAATAGGTCTGCGGGGGCGGGGGATGTTGTTCCAAAGCAAGGTAACCCCATCCATCACAAGCTAAATAAAGCCCTGGCGAGACCAATACAGCGCGGTAAGACGAGAAGGTTTATTGAAGCCGCGACGAAGTACCGGAGCTGGCGCCTGCAGTCCTCCTGCGCACGCGCCGCTTGGGCTCGGGGCGAGGCCGGGAGGAGGTGGTCGGTGCGTTAGGTGCGGGCAGGAGTAGACGATATGCACTGATAAAAAGTAAACCTAACGCACGGTCCGCCTTCCCCAGACCCTGCACAAAGGTATACTTATAACATAGTTGCTCTTCTCCAGTTCATCATAGGTCATGAAATAGCCCGGGGAAAGCTTTTTGACAAAATAAATGAATATGTTGTTGAAAGTCCCATTCATTTTTGGAGAAGATGAATGTAACATCTGGATTTATATCTTGGGGTGGGGGATGAAGAGAATGGTGGATTTTTTTTTTTTTCTTCTAATATCCTCATAGTAAAAGCGTTTGAACAAACTCCAGATTGAGTTATCCTTTTTCTAGGTTTGGAAGCGACCGTGCCAATTATTTTATAGACCCTTAATTTGCAAATGAGGTTAAATTCCCTCTAGTGTGTTGCCTTCGTCAGAAGTAACAGTAGCATTTAAAATATACATATTTGACTAGCGCGGGGAAGACAGCTCAGTAGAACACACACCTGCCTGTCAAGGGCAAGGTCTTGAGTTCAATCCCCGGTAACCGGGAAAAAAAAAATAATAATAATGACTAGTTGCTCCAGTAGAAACAGCCCTCTTCGAGGTTAGAGCTGGCTGCCTCTAGTAGAGAAGGCGGCTCCAAGCGATTTATAAGGCACAGGCTCTGCAGCCCAGATCCCTGGATTCGGATTCTAGGTCTTGCTCCCTGTGTGCTGTGCATTAGCGAATGAGCAGTGATTTACTTGTCTGTGATGGGGGTCTGCACTCTGCAGGTGAGGCTTGATGGGGTGAGTCCACGTCCAAAGTCTTTAGAACAGAACCTGACCCGTAGAGGAGCTGTATGAGTGTTTGTTAAATACATGATTGCAGTAACTCACCAATGCATTAATGTCCTATTCTGGTCACTTAGTTGTTCTGAGGACTCCAGAAAGCTTCCTGTCTTTTTCCTTTTTAAAATTTCCTTTCCTTCCTCTTCCTGTCCTTCTCTCCTTCCCTCCCTTTCTTTCTTTCATTCTCTCTTCTTTTCTTTCCACTTCTATGGGTCAAACCCAGAACCTTCACACTGAGCTTCATCCCCAGCTCTTTTTTTGCATTTTTTGAGACCGTCACACTAAGTCACTAAGTTTCCCAGGCTAGGCTTCATCTCTCCATCCTCCTGCCTCAGCCTTCCAGAATGCTTGGGATACAGGCCTGGGTCACCACACCCTGCTGGCCTGGTCTCCATTTACCAACTAAGATGTTACCCTCCATGACTTTCACTATCCCTTGATGAGAAAGAAAGAAGCCTTTGGCTAGCAAACTGGGAGCTCCAAGAGAAATCCATCAATGTTTTGAAATTCACTTATTTTCCTCATGGGGTCACACTGACCTCAGTCCTTTGCTTTTGCAGCTGGTGATGTATGTCGGTCAGGTGGCCAAAGACATCCTAAAGTGGCCCAGACCCTCCTCCCCTCCTGTAGTGAAACTGGAAAAGAGAGTGGTGGCTGAGTTCGGAATGCCATCCACGCACGCCATGGCGGCCACCGCCATTTCTTTCACACTGTTGATCTCTACCATGGACCGCTACCAGGTAAGCAGCCTGCCCCCCTCCTTCTTCGGGTCCTCTGTCCATGCAGTGGTTCTGTGAGCACAGGTGCAACTCAGAAATTTCCCTCAAAACTTCTCTAAGGGACTTGAGGGCTTGTGAGGTAAGGACCAAGGGGAAAAGAAACCTCTTGAAGTGTCGGTGACAACTTCCTCATGAATGAAGTGGCCATACAATGTAGCACTCCAGTCAGGTTGTGCTGGCAGTGACAGTGGACACCAGGAATGATGACATCAGGACCATCATCATACCGCAGGCTGCCCAGGGGTCCTTTGTGTGCCACCTCCCTTGCTTTTGGCTGCTGAGGCAGACTGTAGTCTGTGCCCTTGGTCTCTTTACAGCAGACACAAAGGTTTCTGAGCCTCGAGAATGATCTTCAAGGCAGCGGTGAATCCCCCAAATCCTCCTGCCAGACTCCTCAGGGCCTGGGGCAGGAAAGAGTCTGCACCCCAAATTACCCTCCGAGGATGCCTCTGCCCTGCTTGGGGCTTAGCCGTCAGAAGTGACAGATCCAAATTGTTTCAAAACTGCCTAAATGACAGGGGATGAGCACAAGTTGAAAATAGAACTTCACTTACTAACCACTTAGATGCTATGACCAAACTCTTTAATGATATAGTATTACTTTTGTGAAGGGTTTGTTTTTTTTTTTTCTAGCTTTCTTTTATTTGGGATGCACTGCTTTAATTTTGTGATTAATTTCATTTGCTTTGCCTTGTATTTGTTGGAAGTTTTGCTTGTCACTAACTCCAGAGGACTGACAGGTGGATGGTGGTATTGTGCCGCCCTTCCCTTTCACTGTGGGAATCAAGGTGTCCTCATTCTGCACTGCACAGAGATGGGCCTGTGCCTGAGGCAGTGGGAAGGGATCAGGCCTGGTGCTGGGCCTCTCACCAGAGAGGTCTGTGAGCCAGTGTTACTCCGGGAAAGAAGCCGTGAGGAGAAGCAGGGTGGAGGAATGGGATAAAAGCAACCACCATGATGATGACAGCCACCTTTTAAACACTCATTTTAAAAATTAGTACATGCTCAAGATGTATAATGTTTGCATTCCTTGTGAGGTGTGATCCATGCACATGACACACCTTAGCTTCTTTTTTGGCCCTTTTCCTTCCTCTCTCTTCCCCCTGCCTCCATCCCTTGGTCCCCTTCCCACTTGAGAAAGATCTTCGTCCCCACTTCCTGTTATGAAAACCACTCCTTCCTCCTTACACACTCCTTTCAGGCCCCACAATGCACTTGTGTTGTGAGGCCTGAGTTCTGTTGTCCATTTCTTTCTGGTTTGATTTTAAGTGATAAATATTTTAGTACTGCATTTATTGAGGCGTCAGGAGATTAATGTGGAGCCTTTGGCTTCTTCATAACAAGTGGTGGCTATTGGCTTCTAGGAATTTGTTAGTGTGGTGAAAGGCTGAAGTGTGCACACTTTTTTGACAGACTCTGTATTCAGCTATTTAGGTTATTTTCTAATACACAGCTCTAAATATGTATTTGTTTGAGTCAAATGCCCCAGATCGAACATTGGAATACGTTCATGAACTCATTCATTTTTAGAATCTTTTGATTAAAATCTGAGATTCAGTCCATTAAACCTTAAGAGAAACTGGGCGTGGTGGCACACACCTGTAACTGTAGCTGCTTAGGAGGTTTAGGCAGAAGAACCACAAGGTGGAGGCCAGCCTGGACAATTAAGCAAGACTTTGTCTCAATATGAAAAAAAAAAAAACCAAAAAAAAAAAAAACCCAACTTTTAAGACCTATATCCAGCTGTTTTCATTGTCGTGTATAATGTGCAAAACAGCACACTGGGCCTGGAAGCCATGGCTTTGGTTGTAACCCTGTCACTGACCCGATGACAATCATGCCCCTCCCCAAGCCCTGGCTTCTGCTGTGGAGCAGATGGACTGACTTAGGGAAGAGCCTCCAGTGACAGAGGGCATTGCTAATGTCATTTAGTCTCATGATTAAGGGAGCTGATAATAGAACACATTTCATAGGCCAATGTGAGGGTTAAGAGACAGAGGGAGAGCAAATATTCTCATCACTGTGGAACGGCACGGGGGCCGGTGGGTCACAGTGGCCCTTCTAGCCAGAGGACTCTGTCTCTACACCATGATCACAGGCAGAGGAGGAGTGTGCCTGGGGCTCATGCTGGCCAGAGTCCTCAGTTGCTTTCTCTGCCCAGAAACAATGACAAGTTTCACAGAAGCTCTGCTATTGCTGTGACATCTGTGTGCCCCTTCCTAACTTGGGCCCATTTTTCTCTTCAGAAGGAGAGGTTAATTTTTAAAAAATCTTAGGGCTGTCCAGATAGCTCAACAGATAAAGTGACTGCTTAGACAGATACAGGGGCTGGGGGTTCAATCCCTAGCCTGCCGTGCTGTCCCCACCCCCAGGGCACATGTGTGTCTGTAATCCCAGCTCTTGGGAGGCTGAAAAACAGGATCCCTACAAGTTGGATCTGTATAGTGAGACCCTGTAGACCCTATACTAAATACATTTTAAAAAATCCTTTTATTCACTTATTAGGTACAGGGTTCCACTACACAGCACGGATTCATAGTGTTCCTCCTGTTTCAGCATCTCCAGCACTGGGATTACAGGTGTGTGCCACGACGCCTGGTCTCAGTGACCAGCACGGCACACCCAGGGTTCCAGGGCAGGCACTACATGCAGTACTGGGGAGTGAACCCTGGTTGTTGTGCTTGCTAGGCAGGCGCTTAGACCAGCAAGCTACTTCCCCAGACAAGGAGAGGTTCTTTATTGAGACATTTAGACTACAGCAATGGCCCTCTATGTTGCTTTGGCAAATGGTTTAGTTTTCAAGCTCTATCCAAAAACTACAGAAAACTAAGAATCATTTACTGCAGCACAAGAGTGGCAGAGAGGAGTCTTAAAACCGAGCTCTGCCTGTTCTTTGCCTGCTTAGATGCTAGGAAACTTTCTCCCGCCACTGTGGTCCTGGGCACCTTGGCCTTCTCTTTCTTCTGTTGCCCTATATTTAAAACATCTTCAGATAATGGATCGCTGCTCCAGGGAACCTAAGAGGCAGAACGGGAACAAGAGTGTGATACACCCCTGCCCCACTATGCCACCACATCATAGATTTCTGCGTGAGCTCTAATTTCCTTATTTTCTCTTCTCCCCCCGCAGTACCCTTTTGTTCTGGGGCTGGCAACGGCAGTGCTGTTTTCCACCCTGGTGTGTCTCAGCCGGCTCTACACGGGGATGCACACGGTCCTGGTAAGGCTGCTTGGGGGGGGGCATGTGCCAACTGGTTAATTGCACTCTGTGTGTCTTCCTCATGCTCTTCTGTGTCTTCCTTATGCTGCTTATCTATGAAATCATTTGCATATGTACAGAGTTATGACAGACCTTTGAGTTATGACTAGCCTGAGATATGAACATCTTGGTTATGACCAGAATTTTAACTTATGACCAAAGTCTTGCGCTATGACCCAGTTCCCAGCTGCTTGGGCATCTGTGTGGTCTCAGGTAAAGGCACAGGTCACTGTGGTCATGAATTCAGGCCTCTGTGCTGAGATGTTCCGGGGAATGTTGTCAAGTGCTTTGTTTACCTCTTGATATAAAATGACAAATGGGACAGATTTGACCTGTGCAGCTTGTCCATCAGAGGGCACACATGCAGCCGTAACATTTAAGAATGCAAAACAGCCTCTACCAGAGGCTGTTTGCTATTGCTAACACTGTATTTCTGATGTTGAAAGAAATTCCCAAAGAGTACACATGGCATCTATCTGTGCTCTAGGTAATTTATGACAGCTACATCATAAGAAATGTGTGATGCTTTTCAGAAAGGAGAAAAGCACAGGATGATTTTCTATGCCCATCACTGTGAGGTCTGATAACTGTCATGTTGGCTTCTTTTCTGAAATTGCATTTGAGTTTCACATCTGGGGAAGCTGTACCTCTTAAAGTAGTTGATTTCATGTCTTAAAGAGGAAGGCAGAACTGAATTACTCTAAATTTGCCCAGTAGTTCTTACTGGGTCTATCATTTAAGTTTTTTAAAGGAAATAATCCTGTTTGACTCACTGTGACTTTCATTGTTAAGGAAGCAGGGAGATACCCCAAGTTCTGATAACTGCAGAGTGTTTCCTTAAGTTAAAGCTACGTTGTTGGGAGCTGGGGAGATGGCTCAGTAGAATAAGTGCTTTCCTGGTAAGTACAAAGGCCTGAGTTCAATCCCTGGTTCTGCCACAAAAAAAAAAAAAAAAGCTATGTTGAGGGTCTCCATTCCCAGTTCTTGGATCAAGGTGGGTTAACCCCAAGTTGGAGTCCTGGAAACTTATTTGTGAACATTGCTGATACCATGTAGAAGTATGTACACTACCTAAGTTTTTTGCTGTTTAAGAAAAACTATCCACCTATTAAAAATTGCCCTGCGGCCATCAAGATAGCTCAGTGGACTAAACCACCTACTTAGGCAAGCTTAGGCAAGCACAGAGACCATGGTTCGATCCCCAGCATCACATGCCATGCCAGCCTTGCCCCCAGGGTGGGCTGAACCAACCACAGAGTCTGGGTGTAGGGGCACACGCCTGTAATTCCAATGCTGGGGAGGCTGAAAAACAGGAGGATCACTATGAGTCCAAGCTAAATAGTGAGACCTATATCTAATAAGTAAATAAAAGGATTTTTAAATTTTTTTAAATGTATTTAGTAAAGGGTGCACAGGGTCTCACTACACAGATCTGATTTCTAGTGATCTTTCCTGTTTTTCAGCTTCCCAAGAGCTGGGATTTCAGCCTTCCAAGAGCTGGGATTATAGTCTCCCAAGAGCTGGGATTACTGGGATTACATTAAAAAAAAGAAAAATTGCCTCAAAAAAGTTCTAATTTGACTTATCATTTTGCTTCTTAAAATAAGTGAGGAGTATTCCTGGTGGATCCTTGATGAGCCTGCATCGCACTGTGGGCACGTATCTGTGTTTCTGCACTCTTAGAATAGAGGGTGCCACAGACAGAAATGTTGCTTTGAAGCAATATTTGCAAAACACGCAAACTTCTGCATCTGTATTTAGAAAAAGTTAAAACAGTTTCTTTCTGCTTTAGATAGTCTCTGATGCAGATTTAGCGCTGACAGAGTTCTGGAAGGAACACTGTGACATCTTTTCCTGTATGGGGTTCACCTGGAAACCCTGGGCCGGTGGCTCTCTAAGGTCACTGAGATCTGCCTGTGTACAGGAGAGAGCCTCAGGAGGCTGTGCAGGGGACCCCTGGCCTTCAGCCGACAACCTAAGTGACAACCCGCTCTCATGAATGAGTTGAGTGCATAAGTCAGGGGTCCACTGTAATTATATAAAGATCCCAAAGACTTTGCCAGTGGCTAGAGTGACAAACGGGACTGAGATAATTCTTTTCACATCAGTTTACTGGAAATACAACAAACAGCGTGAAACACTCAGAGTCCAGGATGTGAGGGGGTGTGTGCAGCAGTCGCTGCAGTCCTCCCAAGGCTGGGGTGGAGACGCAGAGGGAGGGTTCTGTGGCTTTGCACACTAAGCTCCCTCCAGTCAGAGATGCCGGCCTCAGGCTCAGGCCCCGGTACGAGTGAAGCTGCCGCACCAGGACACGGCTTGGGATACCTTGGCACATAATTGCCAGGAGCAGAAAGGAATGGTTGGACCATGGGAAGGAAGGAGGGGGGGTATTAATTAGAGGGCACCTAGTTTCAGGGTTACAAGATGAAAAGAGGTCTGGCGAGAGACGACTCCTCTCCCATGAGGGGCCTTAAGTGGTCACATGGCCACATCTGCACAACCCTGAGAATGGTCTTCCTCCCAGAGCCCACTGGGCTGTTTAGTGTGAAGTGGTTAAGGCAGATGATTTCTCGCTCTATGTATGGCCTTATCTTCTTGTCACTGGGACATGAGGCCCAACATCCACTACTGCAAGGAGAAGTTACTTTGTGCTCACAGTTTAGAAGGGCAGGCCATCCAGAATGCCTTCATATCCCAGTCCCTTTCCAAACTATAATGTGCATTTTACTATTACTAAAGCATGTTGCTTATTTATAATAAAATATCATTTTTTCAAATTTAAAATTTAGGCTTGGGAGGTGGGTCCTGTCTGCTGGTCCTTGTTTGCAGCTTTCTTGTTCATTTAGCTGTGCGGTCAGGGCTGTGTAGCATGAGTGGGGTGAATGTCATCAGTCATCCTTTACCCCGGGCGGGGACAGGCACCTAAACAAGACCAGCTGCAAGGTGGCAGGAAGGTGGGGATGGCTGAGTAGGCCCCCATGGTGTGTGTGTCAGGGACAGCACAGACGTGGTCACAGGGGACTGAGAGGCTCACAGCACCTACGTGTGTCATCCAGCTGGCCGCTGGGTGTACATAAACAGCTCTCAGTGCAGAGGCAGAAAGACAACTTGTTGAGGAAAATAATTCACCTCACTCATGTAGGCAATCCTCTTTGTCAGCTGTGTCACCACCCCCACCCAGCGGCCCCAGTTCCACCTGGGGCAGGGCCTCTCTTTCTCTCCTGCTGACCAAGGAGGCCCTGTGAGAACCTCAGGCCCCCTCCC